AGCATTTGAAATACATCAGCAGTAAATGGGAATGATGTTACTAAAATGTTTGGTAGAATCTATGAGAGAAATTTTTTTTGTAGAATCTGTGCGACTATGCGACACGATAAGATCGCTATCGTCAATTTTAATCCAAAAATTTGCTTGATAAGCAACTACCAACTAATCCGATAAGCTTGACGTAATGTTCGNTCAGTGTACCAGTGTCAGTCAGTGTGTTGTTAGCGTAGTCAGTGTTGTCACTCGCAGTTATTGTAGTGTTGTACTCGCCATCGTCGGCATCCTTCGCAATCGTCAGTTGTATCATCACTCTACTCAATCATCATTATCGTCCTTATTTATTATTGCGGATAAGCTATATTATTAATTGTCGTCTTCGCACCAGCAACAAAAGCTAACACCACTAACATCACAAACATTAAGGAGTACGACATACCATATGCTGATGATGTGGATGACCGGGATGATGGTGGTGATGATGGTGTCGATGTGGATGTTGTCCGTCGTCCAGCCTAAAAATAAAAAATTTCATCGAATTCATGGGTCTGCTAAGCAGTATCAACACCAGGAGTGGAAGCAATACTGAGTATTGCTGGATGACGAAGTGCACGTAGTTGAGGCGCTAGTGTGAGCATAATGAGGAGGTGAAGCATTAGTTTGGACCTAAATGTTAGTCACAGGCAAAACGTGATTTTACGTCAAAGCCAGCTGAAGTTGTTTAGAACTCGACACTCTTCCTTTAAGACGGAAGTAGTTGTTAATTACAAACAAATGTGGCTTGAGAGATTATTAAGCACTACAGTGACCACTGAGAAACATTAGTATTACAGTGATGAATGGCTGGTTATGTTCAGTTGACAACGATAATTGCTGGACATCAAAATATGCTGAACAGGAAAATTATTTCAAAATGTTTTGGTTGAGAAGAATTCAAAAACGATAAATGCAACAAGCCTTGGCTTAGCTGGAGGCGATGATGGTCCGCAACTGCAACTGCGGCCACATTCACTACATGGTTTGGTTGAATCCTGAATCATAACGCATAGTGAAAAATGCCGTCCGTGTTCAATAAAACAATGGTCCCCACAGGGAAGAAATTAACCATTTTTGGGTAATTTGGCGGTGTCAGAGAGGTAATGGAGGGGATCGGAAATAATTTCCGACGTTATGCGTGCATATAGTAAATTATTGTAGTGGTAGAAGGCAATGACGGACTACCAAACCATTAAAATGGTAATAGAACAACTGAACGTGGGAGCCACTGCGCTACAATGACGAGTGATATTCCAGTAGAATAGACAAGTATTAGTAATTACAAAAAGTTCCCAGCAAATGCTCACAATTAGCAAAATCAGGAACATGACAAATCAAAATACATTTGGAATAATAAAGGATAACTGGATAATGGACACAAGCCAGAACATAGCCTGGCTCAGGCTCACAACATTAATGATATTGGTACACCACTCGATTTCAAGTGAAACTTTCCTCCGCGAACGGGAATCGAACCCGCGACGTACCAATTACTGGTTGGGGCTCTACCTCTCAGCTACCGCGGAGACCGTTCAGTCTCTGCCGAGTGATTGTGTTAAGATTGCAGTCAGTTCTTCAGTGCACATAATCCGAAAAAAATCAGTTTCGTTGGTACGTCGCGGATTCGATTCCCGTTCGCGGAGGAAAGTTTTGCTTGAAACCGAGTGGTGTACCAACATCAAAATACATTTTTTCCTGTTAAATGCTTTTCGGGTAATTTTTAAATTTATCGTAGCGATTGTTACCTCTGCCGAGGACATTTCGAAACTTTGACTGTCTGTCAGTTGGCCTGAAATAAATAAACATTATTTTTTCCACAGCACCGATTTGCGTCATAGCATCGAGAGTACTTTTCATCACAAGCGTTACTGTCTCACAACAGACAGAACTGGCTTACATGAGCAGAAATTTTGGCGAGCAAGAGGAAGTTCTTCAAATTCATCGCAATATTCTCCTTGTTTTGTTCGAGGCTGTCAGTCAATTGGCTGCGGTCTTAGCCAAACACACCAACTGATCTCATCAGTAGTTGGTTCATAGGGCGGCTGGCAGGAAAAGTTCTTCGAAAATCACCGAACTATGTTGACGCTGTTCTCACTGTTCAAAAGGAGATTGTTGTAAAAGGTAACTGAACGACAACAAAATTGCTGCTGAAACTCAAATTCTGTTTACTGTCAGATCTAACAGCTGCAGTTATCTCATGAAAGGCATTCTAACTTCAACTGATAACTGCGTTCATAAGACTTTTGAATTTTGACCAGATTGGCCAAAAAGAACCAGAACAATATAAACTTTATTCGGAGCTGGAATGATTGAACTTCAAAGTGAATGAAATGGAGAGAGGAAAAATTGCTCAGAAGTTTTAAGTGAAGCACATTAAATCAGGTGACGCACATAAACGGCTAGCGACCGCTTAAGTGGTAGAAGGAGATTTGAATGCTCTGACTGAGAACAAAGAGCGTTGTGCTAGAAGTTTTACGGGTTAAAAAACATTTTCTGAACTGATAAGAGGCGCTCCACTGTATTTCGACACTTGCAAGTTGAACACCTCATCAGACGTACCCATTTTGTCCTTTTCCAATCAGTCGTGTTGCAGCAGTGTTTATGAAACTGATGACTTTTAAGCTGTTTGCACTGTTTGCAGTTATCAACCATTATATCACACTAATCATGCTATGGTGTGTTTGTTCAGCTTGCACTGAGCGCACAAAAAGCAGCAAGCAGTTGGACATGTTTTTAAAAATTCGTATTGATGAACATCATCAGCCTATTGACAACCACCTATCATAGACTCTATTTTGAGCAACACAGCACTCATTACTAATGGCAAACCTTCAGAAGCAAAACGATGTCTGTGTATCTCGACAGCGTTATTACCACCACTCGTGATCGGAAAAGAAAGAGCTATTTTAGACGTAAATTTTTATGAGGTGCATTATCAGTTCACATCATAAATTGTGTCATTAATTTTTGTTTTCTGTCTTCGAATTCATACAAACCATTCATTCCAAATTATTGTCGAATTACATTTCTGAACAACACAGTTCCCTTGAATGTTTAATGTCTAATGCATTAAAACAGTAGTGAGCATTCGAAACTCTATTGATGCATGATGTAGGAGAAACTGCAGCAAACTATGTCAGAAATCAAAGCAGTCGTCCGTCAATCACATTCACAATTGCGTATGCGTATGCACACTAAAACACACGAAATCATTCGTACAAAATCATTGATTCAATGCACGATTAGCATTGATTAAATTTGCATACGATTGATTATCGAAATTGATTGTATGTACATTTCATGATGCTTATGCTATTGATACTAGTAACATAACTGAGTATCATTCACCACTTCATACAACACGATCGTTTATTCCACTCGTCACTTCACGGTCCAAATGCTTGTATTCGTCACTGGCATCAAAAATTATTCGCAACACTCACGTGTAATTCCTTGTCATTGGTTGGTCCTCATCCCCGTGACTTCAATTTCAGTATTTTCAGATATATCAGAAAAGGATGAGTTTGTTAGGAGAAAATCAAATATGGAATTGTATCCGCCGGGTCATTCGTTTCTCGCATTTACTGTTCTCACAGTTAGCATTCGTTTATAACTGCATGATGTCGCCGTACTTACAATTAGCTTCCAAAAATGATGCATAATAATGAATTACATTGAACGGTGCTATTTACATTCGTACAAATGAGTGTGCATATCCCAATATTTGGATAATTGATGTGTCTATCATCCAGCTGCATTGTATTTTGATACTGCGTAATGCTAAACGTCGATTGTTATCGTGCTGATGATGATGATGATGATATTCGAACGAACAGCTTCATTATTCAGTGCGTGGAAGAACGATTTTGATCATTTGCAAGATTATCACAAGCGGAGAAGACGTTTATGGGCACTGTTCGTTCGAAACTTGGCGCTACCTCTTCAAACGATCCATCCAGTATTCCAGTCACTAAAAATATACGAAGATTGAGCGACACTATCAACAATTTCCCTCGAAGGTATTTTGCGATTCTGTTGCTGTCGAACTGTGTGTTACCTTGGCTACCCGGTACAGCGTAATTGAGCTTGAGTTTCTTTTTAAGTCTAAACGTGATGCATGAAAAAAGCTTCATGTATCCGACAAATTTTTATTCCATTCGAATATGGCAGTGTTTCGATAATCATGCTAAATTTGCGTCGATCGAAAGAGCGATCGAGTACCTTTTCAAGAGGTTTTACTCATTGAGGTTTTCATATAGTGATGTCATAGTCCAAATTATTCTCCATTCATTTCGTTTACTTGGCAACGAACAGCAATTTTGCTTTACGATAGTACAAATGATCACTTTTATTTCAAAATTATTGCCATCATCACTACAAGTCACTCCAACATTTGATTTGTAGTCAAATCAAGTCGAGAGCAGTTAATCAAAAGTATGAAATCATTGTAAATTCCAATGATTTTTCAAACAGTTAAATTGCCAGCTTTCCACGAACTAGCATGGCTAAACTTATGCCCATCGAACTGCTCGGTGTATGACATGTGACTAGTAAATACGATTTACGGGAACATATCTCCGCGAATGAATCAATCAATATTGATTTTTCAACTGGTAGTCAACAAAGGAATAAATCCGATTTCATCAGTAATCGTGGACTGTCACGTTTTATTCGATTGATTTGAACACAGAACCAATCGAATTGAATTGCACTGCATTTTCGTGCGTCTATATCGAAACATTTTGAGTTTCTGTTCGTTATTGGTCGTTCAAGCGAACCGAACCAATTCCCCGATATGTTTCTCCGGATAATTCCGTTACCATCACTTTCTATGGATTCCGCTTTTGTCAGTCTTGTTGACCAGGATGGTTAGGATCTCTCGATGATATGTTGGAAGGGTAGATCTCGATTGAATTAATGTAAATGCAAATAAACTTACTGATGCTCTGTAATGTGTGGTTTTCAGCGGAGCAGCGGAACGACCCCCAAGCAGAGTAGTACCAAACGAAGGAGACCGCCCTTCGAGTGGGTCAGTGCTTAATGAGCAGACAGGTCAACACCAGAACAGGTCACCGTATAATGACAAAGATCGACCCCCAAGCAGGTCAACAACGATGGGTGCTCAACAAGACGATAGTGCTACAGTTTATACGAATGTAGCTGAAACGACACTCAACAGATCAATGAAGACTGCATCACGCTGCTCACTTGGATCAACGGTATTTTCCTTATTTGACTCATTCAAATTGCTGTCGTTTCGATTTCAAATTATAATTTTTCCATTCTTTGCAATATATTTCAATCGAACGTATACATGGAATGATGCAAGTATCTCTTGAATTTCAACATTCAACACATGAGACGTGAATCGTACGATTCGGATGAATTTACGACTGCTTTGAAATTATCTTCATTCACTGTTAGGGAGATGATGGTAGGATCCGTTGCAAATCTCGAATGTATGTCATCGATGTAATACAATTCCATAAATGAGTGAAATCACATTACCAAAACATCATTTCCATTAAATTTGATCGGAGCAATCCATCGCTATCATTAACATTTATCTCTGCTAGCCTCAATGTTGGTTGTAATCGGTCATTTTTGACATCATGATTAATGATGTATCAGTAACATTCAGAATATGCTTGATGATTATCCAATATACAATCCAATTGAAGACTTCAAATTTGACAGTGGACAGGGTTATTTTCCGATTGATTCGGTTCGTTTTCATTCTTTGCCACTTAGCTGGAATGATTCCGCGAGTAATAATTTTCTCCTATTAGCAGCATGCTTCATTTTGAAAACATTCATATCTTTATATGAAACGAAGAGGGAACAGCTAACTTTATGAGATATTGAGAAAATTTTTGCGACTATTCAAAGCCGTTTTCTTATGAGGTACCTAAAACCAACCAACTTACTCAATTCAACTTCTCTTTCTGTCTTCACGGGTAAGCGGCTGCTCGCTGCCGTCTTCGAAAATAGATTGTCTCATAGATCGTAGCATCATGCTTTAGCTGAGGACATGCAGTCGATATCTCGAAGCATTTTTTCATGATCTTATCACTTCAGTCGAAAATGAACATTGGAATAGTCGGTCGAAGTTTTTCCGGAAAGTCGGCACTTATCAACGCGCTTCGAGGACTCTCCTTCACAGATCAGTATGCGGCTGGCAGATATCCGTGTGAAAAGATGGAACCGTTTACGTTCATTGAGGAGGAACTACGTGAAACGGTGCTTTGGGAAATCCCGTATCCGAGACTCTTCTCGAATGTCTCAGATATTTATGACAGGAGCATGGGATTCGATAGATTTTACGAGTAAGTTTGAAAATGAGAATCAACTTTCCAGTGGTACCAAACGTATTGCATTATTCAGTGTTGGGCGCGCTATCGAAGAACGATAGCGC